CCGCTACACTGATATGCGCTGGTGCACCATCATGCATGTACCACATATTGTTTCTTATTACTAACGGAACATCATCAAACAGCAAGGGCTACTGTTGTTGAAGAAATTGGGGTAAGTCTCTCCGTCAAGTCGTCCCGGCAAGAAGAATGGGCCAATAATAATTCCTGCCCATACGTTACGGATTTTGTGTAATTTTTTGAAGATACCACTGACAAAAGGTTACACGCCTTGGAAAATCAATGGGAAGTAATGCCAGAACTCTTAAAATATGGTAAGGATATAACAAAAAATCCACTAAAATTCTCCAAACAATTTGACGGCAAATATTTAAGTATCTAGCGATCTTCCTCGTACTCGTTTCAGGATGTTCTTCGACCTCGCGCAGCATTGCTTCCTCAATTTCAGGTGTTCTCACACTTAGAGGTCTACCTTCAGATGTTCCTTTTCGGACAGAACCAGTTTCAACAAGAAGACGATGAATATTAGAAAAGGTTCGAATATCTGGCAAAGCACGATCGGGATATCTCTGGTGATAAATCCGTCTGGCTTGCTCACCATTACCGTCGCAAGGCCATATACGTAATGCATTTCCGCCATTTCTGCATTTGAACAATTCACCATTATTAACAAGATTGTAAAAACTAAATAATGAAAAAGATGTCACAGCGAACAGATTTGAATAACAGAGACTTGTCAGATGTCAAAAGCCAGTGACATATTCCAGAGCAACTAGATATTTATTGCTAAATTGTATTCTTCAATTATTACATTAATGTCATCGGACAATAGAACGGTTATTATTTTTTTACTCAAAAATGGCGCATCGAAGGAAAACAATTCAAGTGAGATCATTTGTTTTAAATTGAACGGGGAATTCAAAAATAATTTTTATTTGTCAAAAAACCATTGGCGTACCACTTTTTTCTTAAAAAATACCGAAGTCAATACTCGTACGCACGCCACTGTTGAAGCTAAAAATTATTTTTGGATTGAAAAATATGCAACTTTATTAAGTTTCACTACGTACTAAATATCAGTGAAATATCTGAAGCGGTTCTGAAAATATTAATTAATTTCCATTTTTTTCCTAAAACTTCAACACCCCGAGTTTTTGTAAGGAAACATTTTTGGACCAAAGTTTATGAAGCAAACTAACATTAATTTTTCATGTAGATTCACACCCTTAAATATTCGCATATCATTAAGGATCACCCTGTATATAGTGAAATTCACTTCGCGGACACTCCACGTACACGGACACCTCCTTTAAACGGACAGTTTCTCATGGTCCCGACCGACTCTCATATAATTTGCATTGTATTAACTCTCTCTTGGGCGGACATTATCTTGAACGGACGCGGACACGAGAAAATGTTCTCCTAACCGGACGAAAAACAAAATAAAAAAACGCGTTGTCTTATTTTCCGAAGATTCTGATGTGGATTAGGTTCAAGTACCAACAGAAGCTATTCCAAATTATGGTAAAGCTATTACCCTGACCAAGCAGCTCAAAAGCTTCGTCGAAAATCAGGGAGTTTCTAAATTAGAAATACGATTTCAAGACGCCATTTTAAAGGAAATGAGGAGACACACGACAATATGTATTTCAAAGCGCTCTTTCAAAATTTTTACTTTGCTACTATACTAAGTGACATATAAATCGAACACCCAGTTTAAATAGTTTTATTTTAATAAAATTTTGTATAAGTACTTAATGAAGCATAATAAGTAAATGATAAAAATTTAAAAATGATTGCACTGCTTTAAAGCCCTTGACCTTTAATAATGTGTGGATGCACCCTGATGTGCTACGCATTCTCCAACGCGCCTAGGCATGCTTCTGATCAGGTGGTCAATGTTCTCCTGTGGTATCTCATTCCAGGCAATCACCAACTCCTCTCGAAGTGCTTCTAGAGTCTGAGGAGGACGTTGCAAATTGAGCAATCTCCTACCCATCATATCCCACACGTGCTCAATTGGGGATAAGTCGGGAGATCTTGGTGGCCATGGTAACAATGTGACATCATTATGTTGAAAGAAGTCTATTGTGACTCTTGCAACATGTGGTCGGGCATTATCTTGTTGGAAAGTTGGATCTGCCAGGGTGTCAAGATAGGGTAAAAGATGGGGTTCTAGAACTTCGTGGATATAACGCTGCGCGTTCATGTTACCTCTGATGAAGATTAAAGGTGACCTGGAACCATAAGCTATAGCACCCAAACCATAACTCCAACAGTGTGATGAACATGTCTTTCAACAAAAAACTTTCACCACGTCGCCTTCTAACCCTGGCACGACCATCGTGCATGCCTAAACAAAATCGAGACTCGTCACTAAAGACAATACTGTTCCATTCCTGATCCCAGAGTGACCGTTGTCTGCACCACTCAAGGCGATTACGTCGGTGTTCTCGAGTTAAAGGGAGCACCCAGTGTGGCCGGTATGAAAACAAGCCAAAACTTCTCATTCGTCGGTAAACACTTCGCATGTCAATAGGTCTTCCGTGTTCTGCAAACCATTCATTTGCAATGGACCTGGTAGTGGAGAAACGGTCCCTTAAGGCCAATAATCTTAGGCGGCGATCTTCACGGTCTGTTGTTCTACGGCGGCGTCCAGTGCCCCTTGCTCTTTGCGTACGGCCTTCTCGGAGCCATGCCTGACAACACCTAACCACAGTGTCTACACTTCTTTGCACTCTAACTGCAATTGCCCGAAAAGAAAGTCCAGCTTCTCGAAGTCCCACTATACGGCCCCTATCAAACTCACTAAGTTGACGAAATCGTACAGGTCTCCGTACTCTAGGCATCGTAACCGATCGTAAAGGATGTGATGTTAAGAACCAAAATCCGCCAACGTTGATTCTTTACTGCGGCTGAAATATTCATTTTTAGAGCGTTAGTGAATTAAAAAAAAGCAGTATAAAAACCGGAATGTCCAACTGATAAGGCTGAAAATTTTTTCACTTGTTATTTACAGTAAGATAAATACATTCACCAACTTTTATTGAAATAAAACCATTTAAACTGGGTGTTCGGATTTATATGTCACTTAGTATATATTGCCCCTTGCGGTGCTATGTTGGAAAAATTGCGCTAAAAATGTGTTAGAATAAACGTTTCAACGCCGAAATCACCTAATTCACAAAAAAATGCTAATGCATGAATTGTAGGACATTTTCCCCAGTTTAATTTGCCAAAAGACTGGAAATAAAACTATTACAAAAACATGCTCGAAACACTTTCTGGATCCCTATTTTTTCAATATGACGCAGAAGCTACAAAAACATGAGGATGCAAAGCAAAAACTCGGAAAGGTCATATTGAAATCCACAAGGATATCAACTTTTAAAAACTTCCTCAAAACTTTCCAGGTAAAACTACCAAGTAACTGAACCTTCCCACTGTTTGATCATTGTACAAATAAATATCCAGATCAATGACCGCAGTTTATAGTTAGACTCAATATACAACGCACCTCGATAATTATAAATGAAAATTGATGGAGTTAGACGCGCATTTTGACTTAATTAACAAGAACCAGTTGATAATGACCGCAAATTTTCACTTTGTTTACCTTTGGTAGTTCCTCGTGTAGTCATGTTTGTTTCATGAAAATGTGCTATTCTCGTGTATAACAAGAGTATCAACAATGATATCAGTGCAGTGAGTAATTTTTTTATTGTAATGTTAGTACAGTAATAAAATTTATAATAACTATTAGGGATGCACCGAGTATCTCTCTTAAATATTAAACAAGCAAAACTTCTGAAAATACCGTTAATACACTAACCTGCAATTCGTCGCGATGTTCTTGTCTCAAAAAGTAAATCAATTTTGAGAAGAAAGTGACGTTTAAAAAACTTAAAAATTTCAAACATGATCTTAATATCACAGTAGCTGAAATAACCCACAGCCAATCAATGCACCGAGTATGCGAGCGAGTAGTACTCGGTGCATCCCTAGTAACTAATAAAAAATGAAAAATACATAAAATTTTGATAGTCGTCTTTTTGAGCCAGAACATACGTAAGTTTTTGGTTATTTCAGAATGAGAGATGTATCTCGAAATGGAATTATACACCCCAAGAACTGCCTGAAACATTATTGTATTTTTTCCTAAACGCCTCAAATCAGGAAGTCGTTTGAAGGTTTTATAAACAGATATAGTAAAGCAATAACTCCTGAAACGTCGACATACGTCTTCCTTATGATTTATTAAAGACACAAATAGAAAAAGTAACCAAGAGGAAGACTTAATATAGAAGCCCGTTCAGGGTCGACTATCGCATAAGTGCATAATTACAGATAAATCAACTATTAAAACTTGGACTGGCAAGTAACATCGTACAGGGTGACTCATATGTATGTATCATGATAAGACGCTCGGAGATACTACGTAAAAGTACAAATAGCTTTTTCACGGAATTCAGATTATTGGGTGACGAAATATTATAATTGCAAACAATATTTTATTCAAAAATGTAATACTGCTTCAGAAAAGACTGTGGCGTAAAAGATAAGTTCCTTTTTTCTTTCGTAGTATCAAAAATTTCCTAATTTCTTCGCGACTGTATTGTCTATGATATCGCTGCTACATGTAAAGTCAGCGTCTAATCCACTCCGAAAATGAATTTTTCGAGTTATACTAAGTGACATATAAATCCGAACACCCAGTTTAAATGGTTTTATTTTAATAAAAGTTGGTGAATGTATTTATCTTACTGTAAATAACAAGTGATAAAATTTTCAGCCTTATCAGTTGGACATTCCGGTTTTTATACTGCTTTTTTTTAATTCACTAACGCTCTAAAAATGAATATTTCAGCCGCAGTAAAGAATCAACGTTGGCGGATTTTGGTTCTTGACATCCTTTACGATCGGTTACGATGCCTAGAGTACGGAGACCTGTACGATTTCGTCAACTTAGTGAGTTTGATAGGGGCCGTATAGTGGGACTTCGGGAAGCTGGACTTTCTTTTCGGGCAATTGCAGTTAGAGTGCAAGAGTGTAGACACTGTGGTTAGGTGTTGTCAGGCATGGCTTCGAGAAGGCCGTACGCAAAGAGCAAGGGGCACTGGACGCCGCCGTAGAACAACAGACCGTGAAGATCGCCGCCTAAGATTATTGGCCTTAAGAGACCGTTTCTCCACTACCAGGTCCATTGCAAATGAATGGTTTGCAGAACACGGAAGACCTATTGGCATACGAAGTGTTTACCGACGAATGAGAAGTTTTGGCTTGTTTTCATACCGGCCACACTGGGTCCTCCCTTTAACTCGAGAACACCGACGTAATCGCCTTGAGTGGTGCAGACAACGGTCACTCTGGGATCAGGAATGGAACAGTATTGTCTTTAGTGACGAGTCTCGATTTTGTTTAGGCATGCACGATGGTCGTGCCAGGGTTAGAAGGCGACGTGGTGAAAGGAGGAATCCACAGTTTTTTGTTGATCACACTGTTGGAGTTATGGTTTGGGGTGCTATAGCTTATGGTTCCAGGTCACCTTTAATCTTCATCAGAGGTAACATGAACGCGCAGCGTTATATCCACGAAGTTCTAGAACCCCATCTTTTACCCTATCTTGACACCCTGGCAGATCCAACTTTCCAACAAGATAATGCCCGAGCCACATGTTGCAAGAGTCACAATAGACTTCTTTCAACATAATGATGTCACATTGTTACCATGGCCACCAAGATCTCCCGACTTATCCCCAATTGAGCACGTGTGGGATATGATGGGTAGGAGATTGCTCAATTTGCAACGTCCTCCTCAGACTCTAGAAGCACTTCGAGAGGAGTTGGTGGTGCTGGAATGAGATACCACAGGAGGACATTGACCACCTGATCAGAAGCATGCCTAGGCGCGTTGGAGAATGCGTAGCACATCAGGGTGCATCCACACATTATTAAAGGTCAAAGGGCTTTAAAGCAGTGCAATCATTTTGAAAATTTTATCATTTACTTATTATGCTTCATTAAGTACTTATACAAAATTTTATTAAAATAAAACCATTTAAACTGGGTGTTCGGATTTATATGTCACTTAGTATATTTTTAGTCTACTTTATACCCTGTAAATATTAATACGTTCATCCCTGTATCGTATCTCCAACGAAACTTCTTATACTACTGGATTAAAGCACAAATAGGGAATATAAAAAAGACTAGCAATGTGAATATCAAGGCATAACCATGGGGCCCGCAGGGGGGCGTGACCCTCCTGGATTGTACCTTAAAATTTGTTCAATGTTGAGGATTTGCCTTCTCCTCCGGGCAAATTTGCTATACCCTCGCTCTTCAAACAAGTTATGTCATGCCGATGATCGGCGAGAAAAATTCGAGCAAGCGCCCATGAGCATAACCGCATCTAAATGACCTAGCAAACCACAGACAGATCAATACAGTTACTTTTATGCTCTATGGATGTTAAATCACATGAGAATATTCGGTAATTAAAACCTGAGGAGAGCGCTAAGAAAGGAGCTAATCTGTCTTTTATATAGGGCAGAACCCAAAATGATGTCCCTTACAGAAAATTGAGACATTGGGTTTGAATATCATAACACTGATATAGCGCAAAGCGCCACCTACCACACAGAATCGACCACTGCAGAGAACGTTAGCTACTATTATGGAACTGTTAGAGATCTCAGTTGACCTTTAATAGCCCAGGCACCACGTGACCGCTAGATGGCTGACGATTCTGGCAGTAAAGTAGACGTGGTCTACTTACTATTGAATAAATTAAACTGACGAAAACATCACGGTTTATAATACTGATATAACTATATATCAATACATTTGGGATATTATCAGTGTTGTTTATAACTGGATTTGCGTATAAATAAATATATTGATTACTGTAATCTACAGTTGCTAAATTATTAATAGCAATAATAAAGCAGACTGCTTACCAAGAAAATCGAATGATACGATGATAAATTATTGTATTGACGTATAATATAAGTATATGGTTGATATTCATCTTTTTGGCAAAAAGTATAACTGTATAATATATTTTATTGTACAAGTACTGCAAATATTTTTAAGAGAATTTGAAGGGGGCGTATCAATTTTATTTCAAAAGCTGTGGTACTTAAAAAGCCGCGTTCTAAAAATATTACCCTCCGAAGACATTATCTTTACTGTAAATAGTATGCAAAATATTCATAAGTTTTAACTAACGATGTTCGTGGGATTTTCGTGGAATTTTTTGGACATTTTTACCTTTTACTTCCTACGTCACTAGGACTTCGTCTTTTGACATTTTAGAGGGTCCGGGTGATATTCAGAAAAATGTTTGTAGGGGTTGAAATTTGGGGGTTATTTATACTTTCCATCCCCAGTAATTATATGCACCTACTAGCCATACTTCACACATCATAGATTTAGCCTTTAAAACTCAGGTGTTTATTTATAATGTTACATTTTTTTAAATTTTTGAAATCTCTAAAATCCTATAATAATTTTTCAAATATACACACGTTTATTGTCACTGTTTTTTGTTTTGTTCTGTGGTTTTCAAGTATATTTGTATTTCCTTGGTCAATCCTTGTAATGGGACTTTTTCATTTTAATTCTTCATTTACGATTTTAAAACTTTGATGAAGGCGTAAAATAACGCCGAAACGTTGACAATGCGAAAAAAGGCACTTATTAAAATCTACGACAGAATCAGACACTTGGGAGGAGTTGGGTTTTATCGATTTTTTTTACTGCGGGAAAAATTAAAAAGTTATTGGTGAACGAAAACCGATTTAGGTACGAATGACTACGAAATTCGTACATTTTGATTTTCTAATAGCTATATTCGTGTTTTGATGAATGCAGTCAGTTTCAAGTTACCATCATTTTAAAGATTAAATGTAAAATAAACAAGCTAATCGCCTTATTATGCGATAAATACAAATGTTTTCAATGAAATAAATTTATATTATTGACGTATATAATACCCTATTTTACGAGTAACCATTACCCTTTGACGTCTACTGAGGTGAACACCTGATCAGCAAGTGAAATTTTTGTGTTACTCTGCAACGTTGACAATAATGAATAGGCTATAAATCTAGTAATACTTGTTTGTGGCGTTTTGTTTTTTGAATGCAAATGAACTTTTCTAAATAAAAAGCTGTAGCGTACAAAAAACAAAATATGGCTCTGACTACCTGGCGTTGACGGATCCGTCAGAATTATGTGTCC